TGCAAACTCATGTATGATCATGCCCAATTAAGCACGAGCTAGCATTGATAGGTTGCACAACCATGTAACTTAACATGTTCTGTATAACTTACCTGGTATATTTCAATAAAGGAGGCAAGAGAAGTTAACCTAAACACACATCGCTTTTATGTAGTTTTAGGAATTCTTTTACCACTGAAAAATCTTCTTCTTCCTTTCTAGATCTATATATCAAGAGCACGTTTGAGAGTTATTGTTACTCTGTTCCAGAGCCAACAAGGTAAAGGAGGCTATTGGTGACGAATTAACGCCCTTTCCTACATGCAATGTTTTGTGATGATATTTCTTATTTTATATTTATTTAAATTTATCTATATAATTAGCTTTATGTCTTATTAATTTGTTTGTTGTAGGTGTATCATGCTCAATTAACTGACTTAATTATAAGTCAAATTAGATTTGAGAGTATTTGTTGGATTAACTTAGTTATAAGTTTTGAATTAATTATTGAATAAATAAGTTTGTTTAGTCTTAATATTCTTCTTTCTTTTTTATAATTACATTGAAGATGATGAATTTAGCAAAATAGTGTATTAGTATTGTATAATTACTCAAATTTTTTTTAATAAAATGTTGTTGTTTAAAAAAAAGACATTATATAATTACTAGTTGTTAATAATAAAAAAAATAATAAAGTAAACATAAGTCATAAAGAACTTTAGTGAAACTTTAGAAAATACATATAGGTAAAGCGAGACACTCTTAAGTTTTCTATAATTGACTCATTGCTTCTAAAGCTCTGACTTGTTATTTTTTTTTATTTTCTACATTATAATTTTAATATATTGGCTTGTCTAAATAAATAAGGATTCCATTATCTTCATATTTGAGAGCAATTTTCATGGGACGCTACGAGGAATGAATACTTTAAAATTGCTAATGTAATTGTATCCTACTTATATTGAATATTAATCGCGACATGTGAATTATACAAATATCTCGGTACATTAAAGCTTGACATTAGATTTAAATATCTTAATATGCATGTTTTCTTTAGATGAAAAAGAGATTAGTATCAAAACATGAATATAATGTTTCATTTACATTTAATTGTGATTACACTTTTTAAAAAAAAAAAATTAAGAGATTAAAGAACATTAGTAATATGATGATGGTGGAAAATCAATATAAGCGTCAGCTGTATTAAAAAAAGTGAAGAAAAAAATTAAATTAATAAAGTATAAGTAATTTTAAAAAAATGTACTTAATATATATACATATACTTGTACACACTATTATTATTATTATTATTTAAGTATTATGTTTATATGTAGTACTCATATCCGTATCCATACATTAAAGATACAATGACATCTTAGTCTCTAAATATTTATATTTATTTATTATAAATAATTCCATTTGCCCTACAATAGAAAAAGTGAGTCATTTTCAATCCTAACATTAAAAAGAACTTGATCTCAAGCTATATTTTAGCAGTGAGAATCCTCTAAAATATTTTAATGATAACGATGGTTGATCCCAAGTTTCATGAAAAACCAAAGGAGCAAGGCGCCTAATGTTATCTCACGAGTTACCCCACATGTGTGAGCTTCACTTCACTGTTGAGAACTATCCATCCACATTAAATTTAGCCCAAGTCCTAAAAATGACTTTTGCATCGTAATATGCTAATATGGAAGGTCAAATGTAACCCGTAAATAAGAATGGCAACGAACAAAAATTACGTAGCATACTATGGTGTTTATTTTCATATTTGCACTTAAAAAAATTCCTTTTATCATGTATCATCTTCATTAATGAAATATTAATGCTATTATATCATTTTTTGTATTTTTTTCAAACAAATAAAATATTAATTCTATTATAAAATAAATAATATTAACTGAAAATACATTACATGTGATAAGAAAATTACAAAATGGCTCAATTTAAATAATTTTTTCAATAAGAACTTATAAGAGTAAAAAATTAAGTAATAACATGAATCAAACTATTTTTATAAGTTAAAATTAACTTAAAATTTTTTATTATTTAAAATTATTTTTATTAATTTATTTAAATTTTGAAAAAATAAATTATTTTTATTTATAAGATAAATTTTATACTATTTTTTACCTTTTAAAAAAATTTAGTCATAAAGTCACATAAATTGAGCCAAATTTCAAAAGTACAAGTATAAAAAAAAATTACTAAAGCCAAACGGTTTAAATTACACTATAATGCGTCTAAAGTTAAATGTAAGTAACACACCAATATAAATATATATATTACTTAAATAAGAATGAACACTATTTTATTGCTACAATTTTGTAGTATTTATCCATCGTCATAACTAAACTCACCATAGGAATATTTACTTCATTCATTATAAATATTTTTGAAAAAAAATTGATAAATATAGTGCCCGTTACCACTTACCATTACCATCTCTATTCTGAAAGAACTTTAATTTTATATATAGCTATATAACATTATTTTTCTTATTTTAAACATATCATCGAATATAAAACATATTTACTTCATAATATATTTTTTTAATACAATTGTTTAAATTTGAATAACTTATCTTATATAAATTACCAAAATGTTTAGTTGTTAACTCACGCTTGATAATTTAAAGGATGTTAAATATAAGTACGATGATTGGTGTGAAAAATGTTAAAAACATTCTCAATCATTAGATTAAAAAATAACAAATAGAATTAAAATAATTAACAATAACCTTATTCAAAATATAAATATATGCAACATTGAATTTAATATTTTTTATCATTATGATTTTTCACCCTAAACCTAAAGTATAACTACGGTAATTTATAATATTTATCATTATTTCCTCTGTACTCTAAATTTATATATTTTTTAACTTTAGATAAATTATACTATAATTTAAGCTTAAACAATGTTTTAATCTTTTAAAAGAAATATATATATATATATATATATTATTTAATCCTTTTTTTAAATAAGGTCTTTAAAAATTATTTTATATAATTTTTCTATTAATAATTTATTATTTTTCTCAAATATTTACTTATTTAACATCTAACTTAACCTATATAATATAATATAAAATGAATATAGATAATGATGTCACATTTATATTTTTTTCATATATTTTATTCTCAAATTTAAAATTCCAACGTTATAGCCTAAAATTTTATTCAAAATATGAAAGATATAGTGTTATTTATAACATATCTCATTCAGTTGAATCATATGAATTAATTAAGATGTTATTTAAATAAATAACGAAACAAGTTAATAAATTATTAATAAAAATCAAATAATTTTTTTTTTGGTAAAACTATATTAGAAATAAGAAAATAACAAATTTTTAAACGATGAAAACTTTATTTAAAGTTATAATTTATAATATTTGACTTAAATAATTTAGTGTTAAAATTTCATATTGTAATTTTATTTTTTGTATTTATTATATTTTTTTACAATATTTTTTTAATTGATGTTTTTTTTGTTAAATCATAAAAGTATAAAAATATATTTTATTTAATTAACTAAGTTGTAACTGATATATTTAAAAATACCTAACAAGTATACAGATAAAATAAAATAAAGTAATTATTTAACAAATATATAAATTATTATGAATATTTTTAATGATATATAACTATATATCACATGCAAATTTATTCAAAATTTCTACTTTTATTTTATTTTACATTTTAAACATTTTTTTAAACTATGTATCCTCAACTGAAACTATATAAAATTATTATAAACAATTTTATCGATTATTTAACACAGTTACATTCATTAAATAACATGAATATATTTAATTTTTATATTAAAACTAAATTTTTATTTTTAAAAATATAATATAATTTATATTATTTTTTATTTTTAAAAATAAAAATCAATTTTTAATACATAAATCAAGCAGGGCTTTATATCTTTATTTGTGTTTTACTTTATATTTTTAACTTTTTCTGTTATATATATATATATATATGTCATATAAAGTATTGAAAATACGTTAAGAATATTTTATTTTTAAGTGTTTATTTATAAACAACAACAAAAAATAGCTCTTTTTTAAAGTGTTTATTGTAATATTTGTAAATTTTAGAGTAATGTATTTTATATTCTTTATTTATTAATGGTTATAATTTCTTTAAAAAATAAAAGGACATTAACATTTTTTTAAATTAAATTATTAATTTTATTATCTATCAATTTAAAATTAATTGTCAATATTATTTTATGTGTAAGAGTAAATATCAAACCCTTCCAATTACACAGAATATCATAGATTTTATCTTTTTTAAGTGATATTTCAATAATCTTAACTTGACATTACTTAAAATATATATTTTTATGTTATATTTTAAATTTCTTTGAAAAATTTATTTAAATTTATAGAATTCTTATTATTTTAGTTTTTTAATTTTATATTTAAATAATTTTTTTTAAGATATACTATTTTAAATTTCACATCACACGCAAAAATACTATATAACCCAAATATATAATTTTTTGTAAAATTCTTCACTAATTTATTTTCTTATATTTTCCAGGTAAAAAATTGTCTAACATAAATATATTATTTTATTCAACCAAATAAATGACATTTAAAGAAAATTATAGAGTAAAATATACTTTTTATCTCTCAAAATACGTTACATTGTGATTTTATTCTTTATAAAATTACTTCTAAATTTTAACAGTTATTAATTTTATTTTTTAATATTATTATATTAATTTTTGTGTTGCATTTTACTTCTAGATAAATTGACGTTAGGAAGAAGAATAGAAATTAATAGTTTTTGAAAGTATAAGAACTAAAATAATAATAATAATAAATTTATAATGACTAAAATTAAAATACGATATGTTTTAAAGAATAAAAATATGTTTAACTGTTTGTTATTAATTTTAAAAAATGTAAAGAATTTAAAAATGCATTTATTTTCTTCTAATCTTCTTCTCTATTCTCCATGTTCTTTCTACTATATTTCTCTTTCTCGTATGCAAAGAAAGTGTTAATGTCGAAACCTTTTACTCTAGCTTGAATAATATCAAGCATGTATATCTTCCTCCTTTTTCCTGGTGTTATACATAGCTTGACACTACAACACTGTCAAATTTTTTTTCTTCTATCTGTGATACTGGTGCTACACAGTCAATTCAGGATAAGCATGGCTTTACTGTTTTCAAGATCTGCCATCCAAAAGCTCTGAATTTTCTGGTAAAGCTAACTTAGGATTTTTTGATTAGTGTGATAATATGCTTTGAGACTGAACTATCTTCTTCCCTTCATTCTCACTTCACAGCCATATCTCCAATTCCAAAGACCACAACCTCCTCATTTAATTTTTAGAATATTTCTAATATCAAAATACATTCTGAAGTGCCTTTTATTTACTACTTTGCTTTGGTCTTATTATTTATATTATTTTTTCCTTTGTCCATTGTCACTTAAGTCCGTTCAACCCGGGGAGTGGACTCAAATTCAAACGCTCATTCTTTATCTTTGATTCTTGCTCTGTTTTTTAGGCTTTTTATTATTGGAGACTTTCCGTTTCACAATCGTTTCTTCAATTTTTTATCCCGACTATAACCGTTTTATAGCGGGATTTAAGCCCTCACCGACCGAACCTCGAATTTTAACCTCTTTATCAAACACTTGTCACCAAATTTCTTGTATTGTTAAAGGGTAAGTTGTTTCAAAAGCAATATAAATATAGAGCAGACCCCTGTTCAGTTCAAGCTGCTATCTCATAAGTGTTCTGTTTTGGACTTTTGGTTTCAGTTTTCTAGAGCTCTGTGTGTAGTGTTGGATGATGGCAAAGCTTCCAACTATGTTTACCTTAAGGCACTTTCTTGTGCTGTCGTTGGCTCTGAACGTGAGCTTGATTCTGAGAATGGTGTATGAGAGTGAAGAAGGAGACAACAGTAAAGGGATGGAACCTAAGAGGGAAGGGCATGTTGCTCAAAAATCACGTTTATCCATATCCTCTACTTCTTATCTGGTTAATTCTACTCGCGCGGATCATGGTGGAGGAAGGGATAAAGTGATCGACCTGGACCAGTAAGTGCGAACTACTAAGCTATGATTGATTGTTTGTTTTTGTTTCCTTGATCATGTCAAAATGTCTGCATTAAGGTTGCCGTGTTAGCTAATTTAAGTGTTGTTTGGGTGAGCAAGTAATTTTTGAAGATTATTTGCACATCATTCACAACCCTTTGAGTATTCCTTTTGATCTTCTCTTTTCGTTCTTAACTTAGTGACCTGGTTGTCTTTTTTTGGAGGGAGGGGGAGTTAATTTACCGGTAACAAAAGCTTAGAAAACCAAGGTTAAGGTGATGTCACTGATTATTATTATTATTATTATTATTATTTTCTCACCAAAATAATACTGAATGTATAAAAACATTTCTTAATTTTTAAATAAAGTTCTTAGATATTTCTTAAAATAGTTAAAATATGAAGCCTTGTATTTTACGATTAAAATCTTCATGTTCTTGTTTGTGAGAGGGAGTTGCCCCCTGCAACTTTTTCTCACAGGGGTCTATTGCTTACGTCGTTCGCTGTGCTTTGCTTCCTGCTCTAGTTCCTGGGAAAGACAGGGACAAGTCGTATTCTCTAACAGGATTTTCTTTTCAAAATTTGTCAGAGCATATAAAAGAAAGGATATTATTCAGGAAGCCCCTCTATTTAAGTTGTAGTTAAGAACAATGCTCTGTAAAGTATTTTTAAAATGAATAAAAATAAGCATTTACGAATTTTTAGTTTAATTTAAAATATATCACGAATTTAAGTCATCAAATATAAATATATTTTTATTCAATTAAAAATATTTATAATACATTTTTTAATTTAATAGTTTTCCCCTTATCTAATGTGGAGGTATTCTTTAATATTTTTTTAAAAGAAATCGTTTATTTTTCTTGGGAATCCACAATATATATATATATATATATATATATATATATATATATCAAAAGAAAAACTGAATTGATTGGTTGCATTTAATTGTTGATTTAAGAGAGCTTCGGTTTTCAACTTTTTTACATTTTATATAAAAATATTGCTCCTCTTGGGAATGTATGGAGGTTTTGAGGGGAGGGCGTTTAACATTTATAAATGTAAAAACAAAAACTTGAGTTACTTTTAGATGTATATATTATATTAATATGATTTTACAATCCTACATATTGTTGATTACATTCACATATAAAATAGTTCTTTTCATCTCTATAAATAAAATACTACCAACACATTTTTTTAACACCTCTTTTGATTGATGAGTTTTGAAAAAAGAACTTATTTTTGAAAGACAAATAATTTGTTTTGATTTTCTAAAACAGAAATGAATTTATATAAAAAATGTTTAATTTGAATATTTTTCGTGCATATTGGTACTTGGTCAGTTATGCAAATAGACCATAACCAGTGCACACAGTCCGCCATCGAGTTCAATGATGGTTTTTGTCAGCTCTCTGTTCCCGAGTTGGAGGGTCGGGAGATTTGTTGTGGGGAATGAAGGAAGGTGATTGCTGTTCAACGGGGATTGGATAATTAAAAGTGACATTTTGAGTGTTTTCTGAAATAAAAAAATATAAATTTTCTTCATCCTTGACAGAAATATCTTAAAATAAATTAAAAGAATAAAACAAGTTCGAGTAATTATCTATTTTAATACTTTAAAATATAATTATTGATCACTCAATTTTTAATTTTATATAAAAAAGTATTATATTTTTAACATTATAAATGTGTTTATAACAAACAAATACAATTTGAAAATGGTTGAAACAGGGTGGTGTGGATAATGTTTTAGCAGCACTAGACAGCAGAAAGTAGTACACTAGTGCTGTGGCATATAGAGTCTAGCGTAGCACCATGGGCGGTTCTAATTTATATTTGACCAACAACATTATTATTGTGTTGGTTAAGGTAGTCGCATGCCCTATTTTTGTAATTTAATTATGATCGACGTTAGTCGAGGAGCTGAAACTCTTGAGATGGTAGACTGGGGCTTTAGGAATAGGAGTAGCATAACAGTTCTTGGAAGAAGAACTCCCCATTACCAAAGAAGATGGTGGAGCCCATGTGCCTGATGCGCACACAGCATCTCTATGACCTAAAGACTAATATCAAAGTGCGCCTTCGGTTGTGAATTGTGATCAAGAAGAGATCTTTATAACTTTTGGCCGCCCCAATTGTGACTCACCAAATGTTGCTGCTTATTTTTTATGGGGTGTCTTTCATACATCTTATAAATAAAATTTTAATTAATGACTTTTTTTTGTTAATCTCAATTCTTAGGGTATAAGTAATATAACTAGTCAATATTTTCATAATAATTTTTTATTTATGGTTACTTAAATTTACTCTTTAAGACTAGGGTTAACAAAATTCAAAAATAATTTATGATTTTTTATAAATTTAATTATTTGAAATTTTTTTTATTTTTTATTTTGTTAATAAATTCTTTATAAACTAACAATTTGTTAAGTAAACACTTGATTAAACTACTATTTATACACATTCACACACTATCTGTATCTTCTTTTGCTTTTTCGTGTTTCTATATGGGTCGTCTGGATCACCTTCTTCGTGGGCCCTTTGTAATTGGAAGTCCATGTTTAACGTATTTTATCTTTCCTTAGCTTAGCATGGCACTGGCACAGCCCATTGGTCTGATGAAAAATGCAAACGAAATCATCTACCTGTCTTTCTATCGTTCCATGTAATCATTCTTCGGCTGATATAGATGGACCCAACATTTTTCTTACACTACCCATGCTCCATGCAGTCCTTATGGCTGTTTCTTCAACGACTTCATTGCTCCTTCTATCTTTTCTTACCTGCCCCACTGTGCTTTCACTGTTCTTCCAATCTACCCTCCTTATATCATATATACTTTTCCGGGGTAAAGAAAAGATTGTTCTAGGCCATTCATAGCGTCACGTTGTTTCAGATTTCAGATATCAGATCATGCCCTACATCTACATGGGTCGATTATATTATATTATTGGGAACTTTGCAATAAGGAATGGCACATGCAGCATGGTAGATTCAAGATGGAATAAAGAAAAAGCACGTGCAATCATAATCAACTTTACTTTTAATACTAATACAAAATGATAAACAAAATATAATTATGAAAAATGTTAGTACTTCTTTTAATACTTGGGTTTTATATTTTCCCTTCATAGCAATGAATTTTAAATAATCAATGGCATTGATACATTTGTTTAAATAGATTAAATATGTTAATTAATTTTTAATGTTGATGTTATGTAGTGGAGATCCTACAATGTATGAAAGATTTTGGCGACAAATGGGTGACAAGACTACAATCGTAATTCCAGGATGGCAATCCATGAGCTATTTTTCTGATGTGTCAAACATTTGCTGGTTTCTTGAGCCTGAGTTTGCGAAGGAGGTTGTAAGGTTGCACAATGTGGTGGGAAATGCTGTCACAGAAGGTCGCCATATTGTGGTAGGGACAGGTTCCTCTCAGCTAATTCTGGCTGCTCTTTTCGCTCTGTCTTCGCCTGACGCTGCTGAACCAATCAGCGTGGTATCTGCCGTACCCTATTACTCGGTGAGTCATGCATGATCAAAAGTATACTAATTGTATGGTTGTTTAATAGAATTTAATATTTCTATACTCTTCACTTGTTTGATTTTTTAGGGATTCTCTAATGTGCTCACTAACCAAAGTAGTATGTAATAAAAAAAGACATGAGCATTTAATATTTTGAAAGGTTAAAGTGTATATTTCTTTTGTTTAATTGGTTAGTGTGAAGAAGCGTTTGAGAGAATCTAGTATTTGGTCATTTCGAATTGTTTGGTTGTAAAAGAATTATTTCATGTGCTCATTACCGAATCTGCTTCTTCTTTTGGTCCTTCTCGATCGTTGTTTGTCTTCATCAATGTTCTCTCCTTTCTCTCATATGCCTGAACCTGATCACATGAACACTTGTGAACAGTTGCATGTGCTAAGCAGAAAAGGAGTAGAAAATTTATGAGTGGAAAATTTAGATGCATTTAATATTTGAACAACATAAAGAATTTGATATTTCTTTTATTTATAAGTAGGAGAATGGTTGCGATGGTTGGTGATCACCATTTAAAATTATTCTTTGTAGTCGTACGTGGATCTCACTTTGCATGACACTTGAAGAATAATAGATAGTATGAAATACTTTTATGTTTTTAACATATCAATTAAATATTTGCATGTTTAATTTTAGGATAATTATTAGTTAGGAAGACATAAAGAAACTCCTTTGAGAGTCCAAAGTGCGTGTGTTCGATGCTAAAAAATAAAGATGCCTATTTTTGGTTTGATCAGTTCATGGTTTAATGTTGATTTGACGAATTACTTGCAGTCCTACCCAGCATTGGCAAATTACCAAAAGTCTGGCCTATACAAATGGGCTGGGGATGCAGTGAGTTATGACAAAGATGGTCCATACATTGAGCTGGTTACTTCTCCCAATAACCCTGATGGATATACAAGGCGATCAGTGGTCAACCAAAGCCAGGGACTACTGATTCATGACCTTGCCTATTATTGGCCGCAATACACTCCAATATCATTCCCTTCAGATCATGATCTTACTCTTTTCACTGCCTCAAAAAGCACTGGTCATGCGGGAATGCGCATAGGGTAAGCTAATAATAATACGTTATCCCCCTCATTTGGCTTAAGCTTAATAACATGAAACAAAATATGGAAATCCATCTGGCCATGATTAGGATCTGGTGGAAATTAGGGTGAAAATGGTAAGTTCCACTACACCTTAGTACCTTACGATGTAAGATCAAATATGTTTTCACACAATTATATAATCATGTGTGTTATTACATCATTAAAATATTTATGATTTAAAACCTTTTTGACTTGATAATGTTAAAGAGTTAGGTGTTATACTATTTAATGATGATGAAATACAGGATTGAATAATAGAGCAAAACATTTTATCAAAATTAAACTCAAAAATAATATAATAGATCGTATATATTTCTGACAGTTTTCACACATAATTTTTGTAGGTGGGCTCTTGTGAAAGACAAAGAGGTAGCAAAGAAAATGACTAAATTCATAGAGCTAAATACAATTGGTGTCTCAAAGGATTCTCAACTGAGAGCTGCCAAGGTTTTAAAGGCAGTTTCAGATAGCTGCGAAGAAGAAAACTCCCAAGACGTGGAATCATTTTTCAAGTACAGCTACATGCACATGGAGCAAAGGTGGAAGCAACTGAGAGAAGTAGTTGGGGCCAGCGGTTTGTTCAGTTTGCCCCATTTTTCTCCTGCATTCTGCACCTTCTTTGGTAAGGAGATGGAGCCTCAACCAGGTTCGTAAATAACCGATTATCAATTTTGATTGGGGAACTTTTTCATGCTAGATATGATATTTTACCCCTTTCTAATATTATACTCACCTTGCAGCTTTCGTGTGGTTGAAGTGTGAGGGAGATATAGAAGACTGCGAAAGCTTCTTAAGGGGACACAAAATTGTAACAAGAGGAGGGAGAAACTTCGGGGCAAGCCCAAAATTCGTAAGAATTAGCATGCTGGATACAGATGAAACTTATGTACAGTTAATAGATAGACTATCCGCCATACAGCGAAAATAAAAATTTGTCACTCATGTTATTTGTATGTAAAGTAATAATAAAAAGTCATAGTTCAGGTATAAATCATATTTGCGCAGTGAGTAATGGCCGTTACCCAATTTTGCTGATCCATGCATAACAAGATATTCTACGTAACAAAAGGGTCTTGAATTGTAGACACAGGGATGCTGAACGAATCGAAAACCATCGTAACAACATATAGCGATTATTGGCCCGATAAGAAGCCTACGCAAATTTCCAGACCTTGAACGCATATTCTTGTGTCACGCTATGGCTTTGAAACCAACAATGGGTGATACATTTGATTTGTTGAATTGGTTATATATTCATCTGTAATAAATTGGTCTATGTTATAAAGTTATCGTATAAAATATTAAAATGTGCAAGCTCTAGCTAAAATTGAAATTGCAGTGTAATAGACCTTATAAAATACATTTACTTTAATTAAGAGTTTATGAATTCGTGAGATCTTAAGCCACCAAAATAAATTTAATATAGGCATTTTTATACTGGTGATTTGCGTCCACAAAGAGAAATTCGTCAACATAAAGTAATAATTGGAAAGCATTGAATTGGGGCCTAATCAAGCACGTGGCTCGGAAATTTATTTGCAGAAGCATACTACAAACAGGTTTTACCACTAAACACTTCACACATCACAATGAAATGAAAAGGTACTGAAGAACCCTCTCACTAGGAGGAACGAGCCGTGAGAGTCTCTTCACGGCTATATTTGATGGTCATAACAACCATAAAATCCAACCAAATTCATGACGATTTTTGGTTTTCTTTGGGGTCTTCCTTTGTTCCACCGGATTTTTGGGCCCTCTTGCCCGTTTCCTGATCTTTTGGTGCACTTTCTTTTTGGGCCTCCTCCTGGCCCGTTTCCTGGTCCTTTCGTGCACTTTCTTTTTGGGCCCCCTTGCCCGTTTCCTGATCCTTTGGTGCACTTTCTTTTTGGGCCTCCTGGCTCGTTTCCTGGTCCTTTCGTGGAGTTTCTTTTTGGGCCATTTCCTGGTCCTTTTCTGAACTTTCTTTTTGGGCTTGCTTATCAGATTCCTGGGCCTTGCGTTCAGCTTCTTTTTGGGTCTGCTGGCCCGTTTCCTGGGTATTTCGTACTACACTACCTCCGGCTTCCTCAGTTTTCTGGGGCACGGTATCCGGCGCAGGAGACTTTGCATGTTGCCGCTGTGCCGGCGAGCGTGAGCGGCGGAGACAGGTGGCTAGCCAAGCAAAGGAAGAGAGTGAGGTGACGCCGAAGGCTCCAGATGTGAGAAAGCCGGCGATTGCCAAACCAATGACTAAGACGGCGGGGACCAAGACAGGGCTGAAGATGACAAACAGTGGGGTGGCGACGGTGAGGCCAATGACGGTGACGGTGAGGATGAGGCAGGCGAAGACGAGAAGAGTGGCACCAAAAGGCACGAGGGTGGCGAGCGCTAGAACCTGTGAAGTGGAAGAACTTGCTTTGGTGGTTTGGGATTGTGTGCGTGTTTGTGTTTGGTAGTAGCCATGTTGCTGGGGCTCAGCCATGGAATTCTGAACTTGAATTGGAGGATGAAAGTGTGTGTGATATTAATTGTGGTATTTGCAATGAGATTATAAAGAAAGAAAGGTGAGGAGAATATTTAGAATGAAAGTTATGATGACACGTGGCGAGGGAGACGAACACTTGGTGGAGGGGTTGCATGGGAGTGTAGTAGATGTCGTCTAATAGTGGGGAAAGGTGTTGGCGTTTCAGTGTTTCATCAGTGAATGGAATGGCCATAGCTCTCTCCATCGGTGCAAATTCACACCATTCTATCAACATTCCTCAACGTCTGTTCGTTTCATCAGTTCTTATATGTTAATCATCACTTTCAACGGATACAGACTCAACTGCCTATTTTATAAAATCTACTTCTCTATTATGTTCATATATAGTAAATGGTTAATTACTTACCTAATTTGATTAGATTTATATATGGGTAGATTATATGATTAACGGTCAATGCATCCAGAACTATTAAATATTTCAAAAAAGAACTGGGGTATAATTAATGAATAAATATATTAAATTACTACTCTTATGCGTACGTAATTTTATGTTTACATTTTTTATAACTTTGTTGAGTTTAAAAGTTTGAATAGCTTGTAATTACTTTATAACATTAGAAGAGTGAAACAAGACAAATTGTTGAATCACTGTCCGACAGATTGCAAGTTGTCTAATAATTTTTCTTGTCTCAGAACGAATCACTGTCCCATCCTCTAAAAATCTGAAAAAAAAAAAACACTTTGAGAAAATGTTTGGGAAGAGAGATTTTAGATAGGGAAAAAAGAAAACAATTTTTTATGTTAAATAAATATATTTAAAATTAATATTTTTTAAAATAAAAAATATATAATTTTTTAATTTTAAATTAAAAATTATAATCTCCCTTCCTTGTAAGAAAAAGTCCTCTGTCAAACAGTAAGTATATTTTTTAGGGTGGATTGTGGAATAGTTTCTACGTTCAATGCATTTGGGCCAAATCTCATATACTTTCACATTCAAGTTTTGTGAGAGACGGTATTCAGGAAAACTTCTGTTTGGACAGATATTTATAACAGGTCCTCTATTAATTTTTTTCCTTCAAAATAAGTAATTCAAATAAATAATAAACCTAAATAAAGTTATTATTTTGAAACTTTATACTAAAAATAATAAAATATAATTGTATTATTTCTCAAATTTTCTTTTGTTAGAGAAGGAGGCGTTTTTTTTGTCCTGTTAGGATAAGTTTTATTTGGAGATCGAGAGGATGTGGTGCAGGGGTTAGGTTCATCTCTGGATGTACATTTCAGGACACTAGACTGTATTTCTTTCAGTACCACTACTATTCGATCCAATTAATATTTATATGTTATTGTTTGTTGAAATTTTTTATAATTTAATATTTTATATGGATTATTAAACTATTTTGTTAGAACTTTTTAAAAATATGTTTAATTTTTAAAACAATTATTGTTTTTAGCTTTCTTCATCCTATTACCCGTTTAATCAACTATTTTTATTTTTTCTAAATTAAAACAAAAATATAATTTTTTAAATATGAAAATAGCATTTCTCTTAGATATTAACCTCATTTGTCTAAATACGTCACGACCCTCTCATGGACCTCGGTTCATGCTAGTACTCTTTCTTCTGAAGTCAGGGCCCATCATGGATTTTACTACCGTTAGGGTTGAAAGTGTGCATTTGGTAGATTGAGTTAATTTTTGTAAAATTTAAGTTTGACCTGAATTTTAAAACATATAAGGATGATTTATTACTTGATTTGATTTATTTTTAATGTTTAATTTAAGCTTTTTTAAAGTTTAAAATAATTTATAACCTTATTTAAAAGTTTTCTTTGCATTAAAACTTTTTAAATAGGTAAGAAATCTTATTCCTAAATAAGCTAGTATTATCCCTAAACTTTTATATAGATAAACGATTTAAATTTTTAAATAAAGTAAACATATAATTTTAAAAGGTTATATAAATCAAATATTCCATACGTCGAAATGATGCGATTGCTAGTTAAATAAACCAATTTGCTAAGATCAAATTAAGGCTAGTAACTTAATTTTTTTAATTGAATAATCTTTTAAATTTTGTAACTTATTTAATAATAAATTTGACCTAATTTAAATTTAATATAAATTACACAGTAAAACTCACAATAAATAGTTTGACCTATCTTTACTCCAACCTTTTTTGGTCAGTTCTTCTAGTCAATTTGACGAGTGGAGTATGAAGTCCATGAGTCCAAAGTCCTAATTACTTGGGTGCTTGAACAAATTAGCCAATATTGAGAATGTGACGGAGCCTAATGATTTCAAATTGAATATACTATACGTGGTGGAAGTTGGAATAATGTCTGATCATGGCAGAAGCATATCTTACAATTACATATTCCAACAGTTTCATTCTCTTATAATATTCAGTATATGTAAAGAAATTGGATACTAAATAAACGACTGTTATTGAAAAGTAGAATAAGAATATCTGGTAATGTTTCAGAATGAAAACCACGGGAGAGAAATGGAAAGCATGTGTTGGATTCATCAAGAAAAAGGATTGAAAGAATGAGATGAGAGCATCTCTTTTTTCGTTAGTCATGGTTTGTTTTAACGCTGTAGTGGCAATCACATGGCCATGATGGTCATTAGCAAATCTTGATGAACAACTTTTAGCATCAAATGTTGTAATACGAAGCTCATATCTATCAATAAAAGAATTGGATAAAAGCAGACAGTGGTCCTCGTACGCAAACCAGCTTTAATTTCTAGATCTCTTCCACGTACTACAGCAATTTCTCCCCCTAATGAACACACCTATCTTTCCCTAAACATAACTTTGTTTGGATTGAAAATTTATAATTATTTTAGCTTATACATATACGTTTATAACTTAAACCTTAAATTAAACATATATTACCTATATTAAACTATTTGTTTATATGTACGACTATTTATCAACATATAAAAGAGTTCAATTTTTTTTTTTTAAAATGAGGTGCTTAAATTTTGAAATTTACGAGTAAAGAAAATATCAAAATATATAACATTGCATCTCTCTAAGTAGCGCCTAACTCGTGGCATTTAATTGCCTAGTTCCCCATTTCCCCACAGTGTCAGTTAGGTGTATACAAACGTATGAGTCCACAAATTTATACCAAATGTTTAGCGATATTTACGTTTGTTCTTCAGGGAAAATTTAGATCAACTGTTTTATAATTAACATTATAATTAAAAGTAAATAAATTATAAGTAAAAATATTACAGGTTTACTTTAACAAAATGATAAATTAATCTTTATATCAATTTTTTATATTAACATAATTATTAGCTAGTATGACACACGCGCATGTATACACATAACAACAGGTCAGTTATTCACTATTTTTTTCGTTAGTATAAGAAATTTGTTAAAATATTTTGTTGAATATGCATCATTTTGAAGAGAAAATTATCCAATGTAATTTTATTATCTATTGAGTTCGGTTCTAAATTTAAATTTGCTTCAATATAATTAAATTTATGTATTTGGAATGATTTATGTGTTTACATATCGTCGCTTATTTTCCATAAAGGAATTCAATTCACTTATATCCATATATGTTCGATCATAGATGCTTCTAGTTTCACGTATGGGCTTGATCCTCACATGAAATGCATTAGTTACTTCTTATGAGGTAACATGTTTTGATGTTAATCTGAAAATGAACCCAAGACCGCTGCCAGTAAATTAATAATATATTTTTTAATCTGTATAATATTGTACATGAATAATTTTTTATCATAAAGTAAAATTAGTATTAATATATTTAGTTATATAGTTTTTCAATAAAATTAATTACACACAACTTTTTTAATACTTAACATTCTTGCATAGTTTAAAAAAAAATAAAAGAACACTTAGACTCTCGTTTGATACATTGCAAGTTCAATATTTAAATGATTTAGACAATCAATGCTATACACGGGTGTTGGAGAGGAAGATCAAGAGGGGAAATGAAAGTGAAAGAAGGGCTTCTGGGTCAAATGGATTTTTGACTTCGAAGGCAGCTAGAGATTACTGTAGCAGCATAATAATTCACATATTTGAAACGGATGGCAAGAGATTGGAGAGCGTAACGGTGGATGGGAGTCAAATGAAGATGGAAAGAGAAATAATAGTGAGTGGTGATACGTTGTTATCAAGACTTAGAGTTACCTCATGAATGATGACCGATGACATTAGCAGCTGAGTTATGCTTTTCAGACTTCGGAATATTTTCGGTACACACAATTGAAATTGACACATCACATGTGCACGTATACTTGTCTCAATGACTGTCTGTAAATACTATTAGAGTGACAATAGACTCGTTTGTCTCTCTTGACCATAATGTGACGAATGATGCAAGTACATTAGTACATGTTTGGGGTCTGTGAGTCTATGTAGAAAGAGAGAGAGTGGAAATTAAACCACATAACGCGAAAGATACAAGTCCCGGGACCCATTGTGGGCTTTTCTTGGGTGCACGAGGACATAAAGAATTTGTTGTGGGGGCTTAAATAGGGATAGGACCCCCCACATGCTTGTCCTTTCTAATAACTTCACCCTGCCAATTTTCACCTGCTCTTTGCTTCTTTTCCACGTCTTAGAGCAGAGTGAAGAAGATTGATGGGTTTGATGGATTCTGAAATTATAACTATTGCATTCATTCAGAGAAACAACAAGTTCAGAAAGCCATACTCACTTTTTCTCTGAGCCACCACAGTGTATATATATCACACCCTTAATTTCCTTCGGTTATTTATTTGCAACATCAAAATAAACTATATATATTTTTAGTTCCAATGCTAATTATACCAATTAAAAGGGACTTGATGGTATAAGAGAGATATTCCGAGGGATAGTTGATCAGGGATTAGATTTGGTTCACCAAAAATTCCAAGAAAGAAAAGGTCGTTCCCTTTGGTGATCTCGAGGAGGAAGCGGGGTCAGGGTGACTCTCATGGTCATTGAGTGAGGACGATGAATCGGAGGTCTTAATATGGACGTGACTCTCTCTCTCTCTCCCCCTGCGAGCGAAGGCCCTCGATCGTGTCCCTCATATACATATTCTTTGAGAGAGTGTGTGATATATCGAGGGAAGAGTGTTCTGACTATTCTTGATTTTAATGACTGTAACAGTGTCTCTGTGCTGTGTGCTGAGAGAGGGAGTAGATAAAAGTGACTGACAAAACTGAAGGGAGAAACAGAAGATGTTTTCAGCATGTAGCCCTGTACTTACTAAGATTGCAAATACACATGAATATTATTCAAAAATTAGAGAGAGAAATAAATAATTGAAGTATACAAAGATTATTTCATTATTTGTATATAATACTATATACAATTAGGTTTAGTATTTAATTTGATTATTTATAATAACACGTATATATGGTATAAAATGAATGACGGCTTTCTTTCTTTTGGAAGATGAAAGGTTTCATTGTTTTTTTCTTCAGGATTGATCGGGAAATTTAAAAAAAAAACCCTAACCCTATCCGTAATATATACTTGGATTAAGATTTTTTTTTTCAACGCTGCAACTTCTGGGATTCTGATCTCACCAGGATCGGATCAGAAATTTACCTGTCAAATTGCAAACCAACATTTGCCTAGATAAAGAAAATCCAAACAAAAAGATGTATGAAGACTTTATTCGAGGGTTTCTTTTTAATTCTATTCGCTTAGTAAATGAAGCTACCTTGTAAGTAAAAATAATTGATATTAATTCGAATGCATGCAAGTTAATGTCAATGTAGCTGCAGTATGAGAGAGAGAGAGAGAGAGGATGAGTGAGAGGGGGTCATTCATACTGTTTCACAGTATTGTCTGGAGGTGAGTGTTGGTGGTTGACAGTAACAGTTTCAAAGGGGACTCCTGCAGGGTACATCTTCGAAGGGTAGAGAAGAAAGAGAGATAGAAAGAAACAAAATAAGAAAAGCTAAAAACCCTAAGGATGAATGAACTACTACTATTACTTTATGTATTGGATCCAACAAGGACAGCGACTGTGGCTCACTATTTCAGATATTATATGATTAAAGAAAAGAGGGGGTGGAACTAACCCACAGTCTCACGGGAACACTGGTTTAGACCGAGATTCATCATCACCTTTTTCTCAGTACGTGATGAAAACTACAATTCAAACTAGTTTGGATTGCAGCAGAGACACAAGTTCAGAAAAACACTGCTCGTTTTTCCTGTTAGTTGAGTTCATCGAACACCATACCCAATGCCAATTGCATCTCTCAAAAAATCTAAAACACATTGCTAGCAACATGATGTGGTTGGTTTATGATCAGGTAAGACAGACTTTTACATGAAAAGTCCACAACTCTACATGCTAATTAAGTAGCTGAACTGAAGCTTAATATTTAGCCTTTGTGGCTGTGACTGTGCCATTTTTACATTACCAGTAATTAACTCGATTTCCTCACACTTGTTTATTTTTTTAGTGACTTCATGTTTTGGGAAACTATATTTATTAATATAAGGCAAAATTTATTATGAGATCTGTTTAATTGCTGGAGGTTGGTGTAGTAAATTCACAACGGATAGTTTAAGGGAAAATTATTCGAATTTGTAGTTTAGAATCAGGTATATAAACTAGGGTAATTACTAGAGTAAAAATAACATAATCAAAAGGGTGGTCCACAATTAAGACTAGGAGCAAAGAGGGAAAAACGAGCAGGAATATATAGCCAGAGTAGGAGCAAGCGTCTAAACCATAGAGTTATTAGGCTTTACAACCAATTAATGTTATCGCTTACTCATTCTTAATCATAAAGAATGACGGAGAAATATGTCAATTCCGCTTCACATTGCACATGCCTAGAGTTGCACTGAATACACACAATAAGAGGTCTAGTAGTCATACATTACTATGCATGTTCTACCAACTTAATTATTTTAGGCTCTAAAGAAAAGACTACCTAAGTTCCTGGCTATAAGTTTTAAACAATACATGCTCATCATCTAGAGAAGAAAAAGCAGCAAATAAAATTAAGAGACACAGTAGAGGTTCAGTCACCTAGCTAGAAGAGTCCAACTAAGGCTACGCAACCAAGAGTCCATAATAGATATATATAATATCATCACGCCATCAGAACATTGCAGGCCATGCCTCAAAAAGTATAAACCCTAGAAAGGGTTAATACTGCAAACTTAATTCACAAATTACCTCCTCCTCCACCTCCTCCCTCACTGATGTCCTCCGAAGAGGTATCAGTCCAAGGAAGAGAATAAGGAAAAGAATAAGCAGTAGTAGGAGATTGTCGATAAAATCCGCTTCCTTCATTACCAATTCTTGCAGTAAAATGCCTTTGGGGCATTTGTTGAAGTGAAGCAAGTCCTGGTGGCACAGAAAGAGATGCTGGAGGGATGTCAGTGAAGGAATAGCGTAGCAGATCAGCGTTTGCAGCATCAAGCTCCTTTTGGAGCCTTTGAACTTGTCTCTGGAGGAAAGAGATGGCTCCTACACAGCCATAAACTGGGTCCCTCACTCGTGCCTCTGCTTCATAGGCAAGGGAGTTCACTGCATCTTCCCTCTGGTGAGGAAGGAGTTCGTTAAGGAGTTTTGTCACGTTGCTAGCACCGAAAATTTTGTGTACGTTTGCAAATTTTTGAGGCTCCTCGGGTGGGAAGTAAGGTGCAAAGATGCATCCTGGCATGCATTTCCTCCTCAAGAATTTGCAGGCAGCACACGGAGAATTGTAAGAGCTGGATGATGCCATTTTCCCTGCACTAGAAAGATTGTAATAAAACCAATAAACAAACTTCACATTGAGTCAGTTCTTCAGTAAGCAGTTTTAGATTCAAGTTGCACCCCTTACTATATTCTACTGTCCTTTGTTCTTGGATCTTTATTATTATGGTTGCAGAATTATATACATATCAGTAACACTACCAATCAGAAAAAGCCTTTCTAAGGGTTTAGAATTGGAATAGTATTACTCGGATCTATAGACGCTTAAGGCTTTTATTCATCGATCCCTCTTAAATCTCTCCACACACAGACAACCCTTAACTCCCACCCTTCCCTAAGATACCCGTACATGCAACTTAATTATGCTGGCTGGCTTAAATTTAAAGATTCGTTGTCACTTTCAAGTATAATATTATATACGATTATCTTTATCCTTGTTTTCTAATATCCTTTTCTGAAAAGATGTATTTTTTCTTTCCTCTTTTTCTTTTCTTTTTTCTGTTCATGAATAAAAAAAATATTAGTGAAGTGTTCTTAGTTTTAAGCATGAAACTCTCTGCAAAGTGTCGATCTGAATTTCTCCTTATGTTTATGGGTTTGTTTTCCTCTTTGTCTTCATTTTCTCCATATCAGGAAAACTATGTTGATACACTTGCTGAGACAAAAACACTTTATCTGTATAATTCTTTCTTCGGTTTAAGAATTAATTCAGCTGCATGACCAAGTAGCAAGTCATAATTTCCTTCTGAAAATATTAAATCAGTTGAGCCAGCTAGGGATCTGGCTGATGCAACAAGCCATGATTACATTTCATGACTGCATATGAAAACAACATAAAAATGGAAAAGCCCTAAAAAAGCATCGTTTTTGTTATCAACCGTTACTTTACTTGAAAGAAACAAAAACAGAAAATAACTATATATGAATAAAGAGAAGGAGCAAAGGAGAAAACTACACACGAACGAACATGATTTTACCTGTTTTTGATATAGGTTTCTTTGATATCAGATGAACTAAAAGGGAAGTACCTTTTTCTCCCTTGTTAGAGGTCCTTCAGAAGCTGTTCTCTTTTTTCCTCCCGAGACAAAGTAGCCTAAGCCAACGTGAGGTATAAGCCTCAGATTTGTTATCGGAAGGAGCACTCCTAAAGAGGAAACCCTAATTGAAAGAGATACACAAGGGAAGAGCGACAAACAGGTATAGCGAGAGAGAGAGAGAGAGAGAGAGAGAGAGAGAGAAAAGAGAGAGAGGGTGGTGAAAGCTGATAATTAAGTGGCAAAAGGTCATAGAAGAGGGGTGAAGGCAAACAGCATTGAGTGGATGGAGAAGGAATGGATGCAAAAGACAAAGGTAATAAATGGAGATAGACTAGAAAGAATAACTATGACCTTGCATCCAATAATAATATCTATCAGGAATGTGGGTGGGGATGTCTTACATTCTCCATCCTTCTCCAACTCATGCACTGAACAGACTATGACTTATATTTTTGGTAAAACATCAAACCTGATTTTTGAGCACAGGCAAAGTGCATTCAGAAAATGGGCCTAAAATGGTATTTGTAAATCAAATGAATAGGAAAAGTTAATAAGTTGCTATTAAAAAAATTAACATCGCAAAAAAGACATAAAAGGGAATGGTCATATATTGTTGAGGATCAACTTGATAATTATTAACACCGTGACCAACAAATTTTGATACCTATCGAAATGCTTAGTGGTTTTCTTTTCTATCTTGTTGTACAAGGACATAAAGGGTAACAACTAACAATGATGTGTGTGTGTATGTACGATCATCTTTCGCACCAGGAGCAGAGATGGTTGGACTTTTGTGTATCAATAGATCATAATCCTCCCTAGACTCTAAACAATGATGATGCAGTTGTTATTGTATTTGCAAAATAAGCATAATATATACATTGTGATATTTTAAGTACACTGTATCCAACTGCCCTCATTATTTAAGTATACAATGACAGGAAGTAGCTTAATTTCATAGCTTACTACAGTAGCTGGGAAGTGGATTGACCGAGGATAAAGTTTTAGAATATATAGTATAGTTTTTGTTCATTTCTAGTTTATTTATATGTCACCTTTGACTGTGCCGTGTTATGTTAAGTTTGATAATAAAATATTGGATAGAAAGAAAAAGAAACATTCAGCAGTTGATTTAGTTTGCAAACCTTATATAATTAGACATTTTAAAGTGTGCATATTGGTTTTGACTCGATTGATAAAGCGTTTAAATTAATGTCTATATATATATATATATATAAACTTCGAGCTACCTAGTGTCTCTTTCATTAATACTTTGGAGTAAATTACAAAGAAAAAAGGGATTTAAATTTCATATTGAAGTAGTTATGAAACATAATTTACGTTGATGGTCGAATTTTGAGAGAACATGACACTAAAGAAGCTGCTCCTGTCAATTTAAGGCACTATTGTCTGTAGGCAGTCTAGTGATGCCACGAAATCTCTCTCCATATCAGAGTGATGAATCATTTCGTAAATATGTTAATAAATGCTGCTGGAGTCGAAGCTTTAGGTCAAATTTCATTGACTGCGGCTACTCCTTTCTGCTTCATGTCCTAGCTGCAGATGTAACGTTTTGCTGTTGTTTTTGTGTGTATATACATACCCGTTTCATTATTTTGATATTAAATAATTGACTATATATTTCACATCATATGTCCAATTCGCTTCATATATGTAATCAGTTTTATTTCTTATGAATTATACTTTATTTTTTATATACCACTTTAAAAACTTTCTCTAAAATTGAAACAAATTAAACAACAAATTGTCTCATTTTACTTATAAAACACATTATTTTACAACATTAATTTTCTTTAATTTGAATAAGCTTATGACGCAATTTACTTTTGCCTGCGAAGATCACTTTGATTAACGGAGGTTAAACTGGAAATATCTGTGTGTAAAAGTATATTATGCACTTACTACAAGAAAAAAAAGTGTTTCCTTCGACGTCCACATTGATTCAACCACAATAGGCTCAGAGTGAAGAAATCACTCTTCCGATTCACTTTTGTTTTATGCTGCCCTTGTTTGTTTACGTGTCAGGTCACAATTTCAACACAAACATATATACACTTTAATGTATCATTTTACAATTTTTATTTTATTTTTAATAATTCTCCTCTTATTTTAACACACACGCCTATATCATTCACATTTAATGAATGAAATATTTTTTCAATACATATTTTCATTGAAATAGCAATAAAGTAATGATTTTATTATTTGAATAATTAGATTTAATATAGTACATTATTTATATATTATTTTCTATACATATTTTAAAAACAATAAAAATAAATAAAATTGTTCCGAAAATTGTATATAGAATAATTTCGGAAAATTAAATCCATTCTTAGATGGACCTTTTCCCTATCATGATAGTGCACATCACCGTCTTTGACTCCTTTTGGATTTCTAATTTTTTATTTAAATAATTCAAAATCAAATTATTTATAATAACATATATAATTATTCTCAAAGTGATTTTGTGATTAAAAAAATTAAATCTTACTAAAAAAAATTGTTCCAACATGATCTTGTGGTTGATTAAATGCTATTTTAATAGAGATCACTTTTCCATGTTTTTAATATTGTGTGAAAATTTTTATATTAAATTTTACTTTGACAAAGGTTTTAAAATAGAATTATTCTATTTTGACTTTTTTTTATAAAATTTAATTTATTTAAAATCAAGTTCATAAATAATTTCTTAAATCCATATTTAATATAGTATTTAATAGTGAAAAATGGCTTGTTAAAGAGAATTCAGAATAAAAAAAAGGAAGTTCTTTTTTTTTTCCCATTAAAACAGAAAATATTGTTTCTGGCATGATCAGTGACACGTACTCTCAAAGAGGTAAATTTATTTTTTTATTTCGGTTATTTAATGTAGTAAATTTTATATTTAGTTGTAGTATGTGCCTTCCTATACTTTTTTCTTATTCTTGAAATATGAAAAGTGTGCAACTCATACGATCCTTCAATTTTTATATATATTATTCCATACATGCATATTCTTTAATTTTATCGAGAAAGAAACAGAAAGAGAGAGAATTATTAAAGTTTCTTTATTGTTAGTAAAAATATGAATAAAGTTATAATATTATATTATAGCATAAACACATTTTAGAAGACTTTAGTTTAAATTTTGCAAACTCATTTTAACTCACGTGAACCAAGAGATGCATATAGAGCTTGAACCGAAGTTTTTAAATTATATTTATTTAGTATTTTGAAAATTGGATCAATTACATTGGCTGGTTCGATCTGTTAAATTGAAAATCAGTTAGTTGTTAAGTCTGTTCAATTCAAAAAATCAATTTGACTAGAATTGAAACATTAACTATTGAATTGGTACTTCTATAAGTTTAATGATCAATCTGATTCTTAAGATATTGGTATTTATAGTTCATATAATATAATATATTGTAAAAAATTAAAGTGTGAAAATTTAATTATTAAAAAATATGCCCTCGTATATTCTTAATGGCTGGGGACTTCAAAATTCTCACACTCCATGAAAACTAGAAAACCACTTGGTTGTGTTAGGAACACAAATTAGGCACTAAACAAACATGACCTACACTAGTTCTAAGCATCGTTCAAGGAAGCTTTTCCTTTTCCATATGCCCCACCAGGCCCTTTTCCCATGCCTCCCCACTGGCCACTGAAAGGCCCAAAAATAAAACCTTCTGTTAATGTAAAACCTCAAATATAATATATACTTGTATTGTAATTAATCAATAACCTAGCTAGGATGGTAGGTATATTGAAAATTAATCAGAATGGTTCCTGTTGTTACATTTTGATTTTACACTTACCTTGTTATGTTGGTATGGCTTGCTCTCGAAATCTTTTTAAGCTGTTAAAATAAAGAGCAAACAGCTGTTTTTTTATTTTTTATTCCCCGCAATCACCAATAAGATCCTAATTCGAAAGAGGTGAGGGACAATAAATAAACTCATTATTTATGACCCCTAGAATTTAG